CCTGGGGAGAGGAATAAAGGAGGACTTAGAGATGTGAATCTTGCTTAAAATAATTGTTGGAGAGTGCCTGGGTGCAGAGAAGAGTAAAATGATTGAAAAAAAACTTGGATCAAAGCTGGTTTTGTGACTACAAAGAATCACTGGCTGCTCCATGATGTGGTTTGAAAAATGCCCAGAGACACAGCCACATCAATGTTTATAGCAGCACAATTCACAATAGCTAAACTGTGGAGCCAACCTAGATGCCCTCAGTAGATGAATGGATTAAAAAAGTGGCATCTATACAGAATGGAATATTACTCAGCAATAAAAGAGAGTAAAATCATGGCATTTACAGGTAAATGGATGGCGTTGGAGACACTAATGCTAAGTGAAGTCAGCTAATCCCCCAAAAAATCAAATGCCGAATGTTTTCTCTGATATAAGGCGACTGACCCATAATGGGGTAGGGAGGGGGAGCATGGAAGGAATAGACAAACCTTAGATAGGGCAGAGGGGTGGGAGGGGAAGAGAGGGGGCAGTGGGTTAGCAATGATGGTAGAATGTGATGGACATCATCATGCAAAGTACATGTATAAAGACATGAATTGGTGTGAACATACATTATATATAGAGGTATGAAAAATTGTGCTCTATATGTGTAATAAGAATTGTAATGTATTCCACTGTCATGTATTTAAAAATAAAATCAGTAAAAAAAAAAAGAAAAGAAAAATACCCAGAAAGAGACATCCTATATCCACGAATATAGCCTCTCAACACAGTGTTCTACTTTGATTCAATGGACACTTGTTGAACAACTCTAATGTTCCTGCTGATTTGGGGTTTGAAATAGTCAATACCTACCTTTGAGATAGGTATACATCCCCTGAACCCACAAAGCACAGTGCTTTCAAATTATAATGCCTTTTTCACATTCTCCTTTGGCCCTCATTTCCCATTGGCATTAAACTTGAAATCTCCAGTGCACACATTTTTATACCTAGTGCTAAGTGTAGTTCAACAGTCATCTGTGAGAAGACCTATGAAGCCTAAGAGAAAACCCTGCTACTTCCCAATGTTTATTAGTGCAAAGGTCTCAGAAAACAGGGTGTATTTTGGGTGGTGGAAGATAAAGGGGAGAGGTCTACCTACACACAAGTGTTTGGAACTTGCCTTGGCAAAAAAGTCCATTGAGTTGGGCACCTTGGTCTATTTGGGTGGCTGCAGGGGAAGTTCTTCATGCAGTGGTGCTTCATCAGGAACCAGAAGACACCCTCCCAATGCCATCAGGTTGAACCCTATTGAATTGTTGATATTTGAGCAGGTTTGATCTACAACAGTGACAGACAATTTTATAGGGTTCAAGCTAATGTAAAGCAGAATTTGAAAGAGTCACAATGGAATAAACGATAATAAGAAGAAGGACAGAGAAAAACTTGGTAAACCTCTCTTCCCTTCCCTATTCTTTTTACCCTCTCCAAACTTATTAAATCTTCAGGGCAAATATATTAAGGGAGGATATAGCAGTTGGTTGAGAGAAAGACCCCAAAGGATGATGTTTAACACAGCGGGGCATATGGGGAGAGGTCTGATCCAGGAAAATGGGAGGGAGAAATCATTGGGAAACAGAATGGGCATTAGAGAAGATGAATTTTGTTATTTCACAGTTCTGTGTATAGTGAGTTCACTGAGGTTATTGTTCCAACAGTCTCAAAGTGTCTGCATTAGTCAGAATACATTAGTGAACATATATATATATTGCAAAATCACAGATTGGTTCCCATCACAATTTTGTTTACCCTGCAAAAATAGCCTCCAGAGGTCCACAAATTCTGAATTACACAGCTCGAGACTACTTCACATTAGGATATAACCAGGTGGAATTTTTGTATGTTTGCTTAATTTATAGGCAGAACTCAAAATTGTTTGAACTTGGCATCCATCTCTGATGTCTAATTTTGTATTTCAAAACAATTATGGGAAAAAGGTCCACTGTTCTCCAGTTTGACAATTTGAGCATTGAGGATAATGGATTATGCTGGATGACAGTGGCTTTAAGGTCCTTCCAACTCCAGGTTCTCCGATTTAGCACAGAAAGCTCTGGGCTGAGAGTCAGGCAACCAACTTCATACCACCTGTGCAAACAGGCAACAGTGGGCTTACAAAGTAGGCCTGAGAAAGATCATCACTAATCTGTAAGAGGAGAGGATTGAACCAGATGCCTCATTACAGTTCAACCTTCCTTGTGAAGCTGAAAGAGAGAGAAGAATTTTCTAATTGCAAGTGGGAGAAGAGGAGGAGGTACATCAGAAAATGACCTTTGCTGACCTGATGTGTTCTGAATCTACCTGAAAGGTCAAACAAATGTGTAACATTTATCAAATCGATTAGGTGCACTTTGATGGAAAATTCCACATGTCAGAATGCCTTGAAAGTCCCGTTTTACCCTTGTGTGTAGAGTCGATGTCATTAGCCAACTGTCAATGGACCCGCCCTTGGAAATGTTTCCTTGAGTCCTCAATTAGTCTTTACGACTATTTCTTTTATTTGAAAATAAGAATTGATGTTATGAGTCAGTGTTCTTTCTAAATAGCCACCTATCTCCAAGCTCTAACCTGATCTAACCAACAGATGCCCAACACTAAATTAGATAATTTATTCTATCACAAAGGCAAAGGGTGACAATCTCAAAAGGGACAACGTGTTTGAAGTTGAACTAAATGACGGAGACAAAGGTATTTGCCATTTATTCCTACTTTGGGCTGCTCCAGCATCAATCCTGGAGAACAAACTGTTCTTTTTTATTTTCTGGAATCAAAATCACCTGAATTTTAAGTGTGTGTTCTGCAATCTTAAATACCAGTGACTGATTAGGATGACTCCTATAATCTCTCCCTTGTTCTTGTACCACCATGTCTGCATCCCATCTTTAACCAAAAAAACCAACTCACAACAAAAATGTCAGACTACCCAAGTTTTCAGTGACTCAGTTAGGGGATTATAGAGTCAGCCACACCGAATCTGCCAAAACCTTTACCTTCCTGCTAACTGACGCCCTTTGGGAGCCTCTCCAAGTGTCCCTCTGCTCTTTGCAGCAGCTCTAAAAATAGCAGATGACTGCTCAGTACAGGTGCTGTTTGTGCAAATGTTCTCTTTGCATTTAGCCTGCCTGCCTCTGTGATTAGTGCGCCGCAGACACACAGCATCCCCTGGACTCTGCCGCGTCAGCTCTTCTTTATAATAGCACGGGTGCTGGGGGATAATTCTGGGACTGCTGTTTATAGGGACTCTCTCTCCCTCAGAACACAGAACAGGCTTTCTTCTCCTCTCCACCACACCATGAGAGGCTTCGTGTTCCAGAACAGCCTAGAAGAAACTTCAGAATGAGCCTGTAACTACAGTGCCCCACAAAATGGACTATCTCTTCAAAAGGYATCTCATTTCTACATGAAACTGGACGGATGGGTCAGGAATGAAGAACCAGGAAGCCAAAAACATGGCTCTGGTCCTAGCTATTGTTTCTTGTGACCTTGTAACAATTATATTGATGACATCAGGTGCTATTTTGGGGTGGAGTCTTAGTGATCATCCCAGCCCATGTTTGTGACCAAAGCCTTAGTATATAAAATAATCTTGTTTTGCTCCCTGCTTTCTATGATATGCCCCTTAATATTCTGATTCAATAGACCTTGGAGAAGCCCAGGCACTTCTGCCTTTATCAACACAGATCCAGATGATTTGGGTATAGTTGGTTCCTCAGACCAAAGAGTGAGAACCACTTCTCTCAGGCAATCTTCTGGAATAAACTGGCCCAGGGTATTGCTTTTCCCAGAGAGTGATTCCCTCTCCAGGGCTGCAGCCAGACTTCTGGTTCATTGTCTTCTTGCCCAGAGTTCTTTCTTATGGAATCATATGATTTCTATTAAGTTCAAGCCCACCAACACTGGTGATAACAACATGCACATAGATGCCATTGTAGTCAAAGTTGAAAGGCACTTTCAGATGGAATGGGAGCATTTCCTCATTCAGGGTGTGGGTGGTGTAGCCACTTGTCCTGACTACTACATTTGGGGGGTACCTTGGGCCCGCTGCTTCATCTCTCTAAATCTCATATTTCAAAAATAGTATAAAAAATTAGTTGTCTTGTGTTGTCTTATGATGGTAATTGATAGAACTTGGCTGAAAGTATTTGAGATGCATCTTTAACTGAGCTTCAACTGAAAAGTCCAGACTTGACAGCCCGTTGATTCCTGCCAGGCTCAAAAGACCCTGTACCAGGGCCACTAAACCACAAGGCAAGGTCAGCCTGATGTACTGCAAGGGACCAGCAGCCCTGGTCTGTGACTTTCAGAAAGTAGGAAGATACTCTTGCCAAAAAAAAAATAAAATAAAAAACCACATCTAGTCATGATTGTGGGAAAGTGCTCCACAGGGAGTCCTGTCTTTGGAGGATAAATCCCTTGGGTTTTCTTTCTTAGCATCCCATGTGAATGAATTAATCTTTTGTGATTCATGTGATTGGGCTATGTGAGAGCCCTGGGTCCCACCTTGGAGAAGGGATTCCATACAGGGGTCAAAGGGCACAAAGCTTTGAAATTGAATCTCTAAAAAACTGAATGCTATGACAAAAATTAGAAATCATTCAGTGCAATGTCCTTATTAAGAATGATACCACTGGCCTGCTTACCTTGCAGAGTCAGGAAACAAGATACAGTACATGGTAAGTTTCACAAACATTAAAAGGCTATACTTGTGGAATGCACTTTTAATATTTTTGCAATAATTATTAAACAAACCAGAAAACTCGGGTCCCTTCAGTGAATCTGCCTGGGGTCTCCTGGAAATGATGGAGAGGTCAGCTGACTCTTGGGAAGAAAGCTGTTTCCAAGATAGCACTCACAGATTTCCCAGGTTTGCCAAGTACCAAACCTGCTATGGAATAAACTTTCTCTTCTCTCCTGTGCATAATAGGAAAAAAAATTCAGTAGTTGTTGATGTTCTGTTTGTACTACAGCAAAGGAAAAAAACCCAGCACTTCTGGAAAAACAATTAAACATCCTACTAGAGCAATTTATCTACAATGACTGCCCCCAGCGCAGTGATTGAGGTGAGCACAGTTGATGATATTGTCACTGTGGGCAATTACAGATCAAGTGTGACAGCAGGGGGTATGGACTAAGAGAACAAGGTGTTTGCTGGAATAAACCCAGGGCTCAGGCAAAGTCTATTACTGAATTGGTCTCCGGAAGCCCAGATTGACTTGTGTATTTGCTCAATGGTATTTATAAAGCACTTCCAAAGTGTCAAAATGTGTTGGCCATTGGGCAGATGGACAAGATGGTCATGGTCTCAATTCTCCTGGAGCTATGGCTATTGGATGGTGCCAATCATTTTTATGTGTGAGTAGCACAATGTGGGTGTACAGAGAATTCATAGCCAACAAAGACTGGGAGAGGCTGGTATGGGATGGCCAGGAAAGTCTTCCTCCAAGAGCCACTATATGCCAGACCCTGTGCTAGATGCTAGAACTACAAGACACTGCCTTCAAGAGGTCTCCCATCTAGAAGGGAAGAAGGATATGTGTGGCAGGGGGATAAGTGTTGTCATAGGGTTAAGCAAGCAATGAGAAGAGGGAGATGTGAGGTCACCCTGCATCAGAAAGATCATCTGTAAACCTCGAAGCATGGGAGGGAATTAGCAAGAACAAGGAGAGGACCATAGCTAATGTTCATAAACAAGAGTTGGTGCACTTGGAGCAACTGGAGGTCAGCTTCCAAGCTGAACAGAACTCCTGTGGGTGAGAAGTCTTTTCCTGAGGGAAGCCAGCCTGTGGCTCACATGGCAGGTTGAAGAACATGCTATAGAGGTAGCACTGCAGTTTCTGTATACACCAGCTCAAAGTAAGGTTCTTTGCTTCCTTTGACAGCTCCTTGATCCCCATGAGTTTCTTTCATGGAACTCAATGATACCTTCTTGGAAGCAGGCCAGCTGACTGGTGCTGAGTGATGACCACAGTCTGAGGAAGACTTGAGGAAGGGCTCTCAGTACCCAGAAATGGGGAGTACAAAGTATGGGGCCAGTGTGAGGCTTGTGCCCCAGGCTGACCAGAGTCCAACCTGGAACACTACTGGCTGGTGCTGACCTCCCTTCTACTCTTGAAGACTGGACACTCAAGAGCAGCTCTCAGGGGTCTCTTGGGTAGTATTTCTCAAGCACAGTTTCATGTCCCTGACAACCCATTCAGACAGAGGTAGCAGATGTAGTGGAAAGGGCATAACAGTTGTCACCGCACAGTCTTGAGTGCAAATCCTGGAGCTTGAATGGCAAGGCATATGTGAAAGACCCAGAACTCTCCTGGGTTCAAATGTGCCCCATAAATGGAAGCACACTGTTTTATGTTCCCATCATCTCCCTTGTCTTATTCTCTTTGGACTCTACAGACTTTCCAAAGGGTAGTCCTGAGCTATTCACCGACCAAAATGTTAACGACTAAAATTGAATTAATATGTTTTTTTTTAATCTCAGGGAGGTATTTAACCCCAGAGTCACCAGAACTTAACTGGAAGGAATAGGGCTCTGGTGGTAGATTAATACCAAGCAAGGAAGAGCAAGTTTTTACTAAGAGGCCTATTCCAGATGCCTCAAATCTTAGCACCTATGGTAGGGCTGAGAAATAACTGACTCACCTCTCCTTCCTCCAGGTAGGATTCTGGAGGCTGTTGTAGGGCTGGAATAGGAATCACTTTCTATCTTACACTTACAGAATTACACTTTGAAATTGCCCCCTGCTAGACAGCATGGTGGGTCATTATGACCAGAGCTTTTCTTAGCTGTCAGGTGGGTATGGAGAGGGCCGAGAATCCCAGCTTAGATTCACACAGTAAATTTGGAGAGTGAGGAAGAGGCATCTGACCGAATGACCAGTGAATGCATTCTACACAGCAATGCACCTTGCGGCATTCCTCTACTCCTCTACAAAAGGCCTTTCTTAAATCACAACCTTTTCCCACATAGGATGGCAAGACATATGTGAAGGACCCAGGATGTGGAGAACATTCCCTGARACCTGTTCACTGGGGCCACAAAACCATTGCCTGAGCCTGTGCCCATTCCTCCTGGCTGAAGTTTGTCCCCTAGGAAGGCAGGAGATGGGTTAGATGGTCCARTGCTGAGAAAGGCATCTCAAACCTGAGCCTTCTCTCTCATGGACGGGGAAGAGGAAGACCACTTTCCCTTAATGTTTGTGGCCAGCGCTCTCAAGGGCCAGGCTGGATTCCAAGACTCCTGCAATATGTCTGTCCCTTGGGCCTTTGTTGCTGGCTGTTCTGTGCCCGAGCCAGCTGCCTCCCACTCCTGGAAGCCTGCCAGCAGCGCCCTCCAAAGAGGCGCGTCTCAATCAAGTTATTTATTCACCTAATCAAAAAGGAAATAATGTATACAATTTACAGTCCTTCCCAGGTCCTAGCTCCCGCAGAGACTGGGGAAGAGGAGGCCCAAATGAAAGCACAGTTTTCGAGCCGGGGGTTCTGACAAGGAGACGAACCACGAGCCATACTGTCCATGTGGTCCAGGAGCTCCCCGCCTTGATCAAAAGGAGGAAATGGGCAAAGCAAAGAGGCCCAGCTCACAATGAAGCTGTGGATAACGTCATTAGCAATAAACCAGGGGCGGAGACAGAAGGGGAGCCATCTGCTCAGCCCAGGGCATTCAGAATGTGGGCGCTGGGGCTCCAGAAATCCAAAAGAGAATGGAAAAAGCCCGAGGCACCCAGCTGGCTGCCTGGGTTAGGTGTGTTTCTCTAAAGCTCCAGTTGCTTCCTGCCTTGGGGTTCTGACCAGAGATCTTCCTTCCCCAGACCTCAATCTCCGTCAGTTTTGCCAGTTTTTGCTCATCTCTCAAATCTCAGCTGAAATAACAGGGGAGACCTCTGATCTTCTCACCTGAAACATGTCCCCTTACTCTCTCTCGTAGCAGGTGGAACTTTCTCTCCCAAATATTTCACACGGTAAATTATACACTTGTTTGCAAATGCTAAAGGACTCACTCCCCTGGTGGTCTATAGAGACTGAAAGAGAGACTGAGGTCCCTCTTGGGGTCTTGTGGGAGTTTACCGCCATGCCTGCCCCATACTAAATGCTCAGTAAATATCAGTTGATATTGTGATCCAATGTGTGCACGTGGGCCCTGTGTTTTCACTACCTGACTGTTCTATCTAGATTTCCAGTTTTCTGGACATAAGTTGTGTATATGCCACATTGCTTCACATTCCCATAGAGCCTAGCAAGGTAAATTATAATCAAAGGCAGTTTTAACATCAAATAATAGTATACACAGTCAGGGCTAGAAGAGGTTTGAGAACACAGCTCTGCAGAACTTCCAAGGGCAGAATCACCTTTGCTTCTCTTCCAACTCCTAAACCTTTTCCATCCTTCGAAAATAAATTCAAGATATTGGCCAAATCATATTGTTATATCATGTACATGTACAAATATGTAACATGAATCCCATCAACATGTGCAATCATAATGCACCAATTTTTAAAATGAGGAAAAACACTTTAAGGACATTGCCCCACAGAGAGAACCTGTAGTCAGTGATCTCTCGGGGCAGAACATCCAGAGGAATTTCACCTTCTCTTGGCACCTCACTTCAGAATTCTCATGCTTGTAATTTTTGATGGTCTATTCATCATGAGAAGTCTAGAATTCAGGCTTTCCCAGATCTAGAAATCAAATAAACTTATGCTGGAGTCCTCACAAGTGTTCAAACCATAAGTTTCTCTGGAATATGTAAACCCAAGCCAGATTTTTATGTCTGGAAGTCTCCAGTATTCCAAAGTCTGGTTCTTTAGGGGGACTCCTACCTGTGGGACTTAGAAAAGCCACCTCACCTTCCTCTCGGTCTACCTGGTGTCTGAGTTCACCCCACTGTGACCTTCCCTTCCTTCTGTTTGGCCTCTGCAACTCTGCAGCCTCCTGGCAACCACCATCCACTCTGTCTCCGGAGGGGAGAGGTGGGAGGGGTGCGGATTTTGGACCCTGCCTTTTGTATTTCCTTGGCCTTTCCAAGGAAGGAGAGCCTAAAATAAGCCTGCGTAAGTCTGCTAAAAGTTGGTGAGGACAGAGGGATTGCCTTGAGGACCCTGCCATCCCCTGCTTCAGTGTCCTTTCCCTCTGGGTTCTCAATTTGCTCCACAGTTATTATGTCAAGAAAGAAGTCTCTGAATATAGACCCCTAATTTGTGCAGAGAAGCCAACTCTCCAAGAACTGGCATAGAGAAAAATCTAACAAGCTAAGCCACTTCCAAGTGCATAAATGACTAATGGTGGCCCCAGCTGGGGTGCTTGATTCTCACAGGGAACATTCCATTCTTTCTTCCATCTCCACCTCATCCCCTCTAGCTAATTCATTTTTGCTGCAAATGAACTCAAGGATATCTTGGCGATGGGGGTGAGGGGATGGGGAGGGTGGGGGGAGTACCATGCAGTGCTTTCTTGAAGCTGGTGTGGTTATGAGCTACTGTAGATTTCACACTATTCTCCTGCCCTTCTAGCTGCCAACACACTGGAGAATCCTCAAGCCCCAAGCTCTGAGTCACATGGGATGGTTCTGATAAAGGAAGATGTGATTATGGAGGGAAACTTCTCAAGCACCCTTAATCCACAGAAATTCCTAGTTCCTTTCAACCTGTTAAAAAATATTCAACCTCTATTCAATGTCTAATCTGTGAGCATTGGCCAACCATGCTGGTCATGGAGCAAAGTCAGATGGAAGGGCCTTCATCCCAAGTGTCCCTTTCTTTCTACCCATCTTCTACTGCAGGAGGCACTAAATAGCTGTCTTCTCCATTTTTAAGAATGTTCAAGTCCACTGAACTTTCCAATTAGACTGCAACTGGAGACTGATTTGATAATCTTTGCCTTTCCCAGTGCCTTTGATCCTGACTCTTCCCATCTGGAATCTCTTGTCCCACTCCTCCTATAATTTGAATTCTAAGGCCTTGTAGGTTCTTGAAGCACCCCCTGATGACACCTACCTGCAGTCAGTTATGTGCTCTTGGGGTCCTCTCTTACTTGGGTCTGTTTTTGTACACTGAACTCCAGTGCAGCATTTTTAGACTCCAGCCTCCTCTCAAATGCTAAGCTACATCCAGCCTATGCAACTCAAGTAGCTGCCTCCACATGCTAACTTGAGGCTCTCTCCTGTGGACACTCATGTTATTTTCTTGAATTTGTGATGCTCTGGGAGGCAGGGATAGTATCTGATTCATTTCTGGGCCTCCTTTCTCAACTCTTACAGTAGATGCTTTATTGATAGCACTATTAACTTTCCCTAGACTCCTGGTCTTAAAATACATTGCAACCCTCTGGAAGCATTTGTGTGTGTGTGTGTGTGTGTGTGTGTGTGTGTTGTGTTTATTTCCAGGTTATATCATCCCACCAACTCCATTATAAGACATGCCTTTTTCCTGCCATTGAACAATGAGTAGATCAAGTTTGTCAGGACAAAAGCCCGTTATTTCATGGCAGGATAGATCAGTGTAGTGGAGAGAAGAGAGAACCTCAATTCAAGAAATACCAGGTCACATCCCTGCTGCAGGACCTTGGGCAAGTCCCTCCATCCATTATCATCTTGATATCCTGATATAGGAATGGTCAGTATGGTACATAAAAACTGCAGGGAGCCACTTCAATATGTAGTGGCATAATTTTGAATATGATCCCTACTTATGGGGATAGGGCCTCCCTGAGGACATGCATGATCTTCATATGCTCAGGGTTTGGTGTCCTCAACAGAATAAGACAGGGCTTACTAAATATTTATGTAAGTTCTGTTGAGCACATACACAGCAGTCCATGTATCTGAACCAGACAGAGGTGACTCTACCCTATACTCTAATGGGTTAAGATAAGACTGATCTTTTTTTTTTTTCTTGAAAAGAAATGCAAGTCATTTCCACCATCAAGAGAAGCCCCCAAAGTAAGGGATTTCTCTTCATGTGCTTCTTTGGCTTTGAAGCCTTGAAAACCATGTCTGACCACTCCCCTATGCTCTCTGGTGCTTCTGCATACATTCCAAATGCTCTAGGTGTCAGGCCTGTGCCAGTCACCGGTCACCAGAGAGAGTAGGACAAAGCAGGCAAGCTTCCTGACACTGCAAGGATTTGCATCAATGACTTTAGGTCTTCTGCTCATCTCTCAATTAAAAGGAAACCTCAGGCATTTCCAACAACTAGAACTCCCCTCTTAGATTTTCAATAATAAAAGCAGGATGGATGCAAAAGTGAAGGCCAGGGAGCAGAAGGTCCTCCTTTTCTGAGGGAATAAGAATATCTGATCACATACGAAAATAACCTTATGATAAGAATAGGTTGGAAATTTAGAATATTTCAAATAATACTTAATATAATAATATTCATAGCTGGTGTTTGCTGAGGACTTTTTGCCGGACACTGTTGTAAGCACTTTTCCTGTATTCATTAATTTGATACTTATAATGACATTGTGAATTATATGCCATTATTTCTATTTTACAGATGCAGAAACTGAGGCACGGAGAGGGTTAAATAGCCTGTGAAATACAACCTAACCCGAACCAGGATGTGAATTTAAGCAACTCTACTCAAGGTTTCTGCTCATAAATTAGATATTGAGAAGATGACGTGGCTCACTCTAGCGAGCCTGGTGAGAAATACAACAAGGGACAGAGTGGTTGGTACAAGGGGGATGCCAATTTTAGTTGGAGGCCTACTCAAGCTACTGATCACCTCTATGATCCCGGTGACTTCTCTTGGTGCTCAGGACCATTAGCCACAGGGACAAATTGTGAGAGCAGTTTAGCACCAATTACTCAGAGCAGGAAGGGAGGCCATGTTGGCCTCCCTCAAATCCCATCCTAGAAGCTGGTATCTCTTCTCCATCTTCAGGATATCTCTACTGCCCTCCACGGGAGAGAATCCCACAGTTCATCGGATTAATCTGTTCAGTGCAGATGCCATTCAATATGGTAGCCCTTCATTTGTGTCTCTAAAAGCTGCTTCATAGGAAACCAAAGGCATCATCCAACTGGAGGGGAGGTGCTCACTGGAAGAATGATCTCAATGCCAACCCTGGGCACAGGATGAGTGGACTGTACCCCGCATGTTCTCAGTTAGCATCACTGCCCAGGCCAGCTGCTTCTCTAAGCCTTTGGTCTTGGAGCAAGAATCCACACCTGTCATTAACACCATGCCACCACWCAGTGGTCTGCAGGCTCCAGGATGAGAAGCTGAGGAGGGGGTGGGCTGAGACCTCAGAGGAGCCTAAGCATTCGCTTTGGCTAAGTAGACTGGAAAACGTGAAATTAACACACATTGTTTATTTCACGCTCTCAGCCTTGCCTGCACAATAGCACAAATTAAATTCTGCACTAACCAGACGAGCAATTAGCCCACAGTGAAGATCGGGCTTTCAGCTGATTGCTGAGGCATTCCATTCACACTATTTATGAAGGGAACAAACTTACTGAAAATATTTTTGTAGCAATAATTTTTTCTGATACACATTTTCCCCCAATTTGCTGCATTACCCCACACTTCCTGGTATTTGAGATGATTTGGCTAGGTTTTCAGAAGAGCAGTATGTAGTTCATCAAAGAGAAATTCATCTTGGGTCAATACCCAGTAATTAGCATCATTTTCATTGAAAATGAAGCTGCTGTCATTTTGGAAAAAGCAGCGTGTTTTTTTTTTTTTTCTCCCCTAGTTTGAAGGTATCTTGTTGAAGGATCCTCTGAAGGATCTTGGCACAGCTATGATCAAAAATCTTCAGATTTTACTTTATTATCTCATACTAACCACATACCCGATTTCCTTCTTCTAATCATAAAATAATAAGAGGTAGMATTTACTGAGCATGTATTGGGAGAAAAACCATACTCCTAGGCCTATAAGTATATTTCATCACCCAATAAGGGAAGTTTTATTATTTTGCATTTATAAATGAGCCAAAGAAAGGTTAAGTAACTTGCCCATAGTCACACAGCTTGTAAGTGTGGAACAGGAATCATGTTAACTATGCTGGTGGACTCAGTAGCATGAGGATTTTGTCACTCACTCAGTCTTCCATGACTCTTTGTAGATGATCCCAATTGGTCTCTGGCAGCAATGGTTTGTCTTGTTTCTCCTCTTCCATTCTGATCCAGCCTCTCATCTCCCTTGTCTTGGCCTCTGTACAACCTGCCACTCTCTGCTAATCCTCCCTGCCTGTCTAAGCATTCTTGGCTTTCTTAGTCCCTGCTCAACTGCACAACTGCCAGATCCACCCTCCTGAAAAACCCCTTTGATTCTGACACTCCCCTGATCAGAAATATAACTTTGGGGATGCTTTCAGGCTTATCTGAAATCCAAGCAGCTGGTTGCCACCACAACCAGGGGTTTTTCAATATTTCAGATGCATCAAATCTGGTCTAGTATGGGGCCAAGCATTTGGACATCAAATTTTTTTTAGGTGTAGATGGAAAAATACCTTTATTTTATTTATGTGGTGCTGAGGATCAAATCAGCGCCTCATACATGTGAGGCAAATGCTACGCCACAGAGCCACAATCCCAGCCCTGTATATCAATTTTTAACTCACCTGTACTTAGAAACCCCTAGATTCTATAGTGAGACTAAAATGTGATGATTGGCAGCTCAGACCCTGTAGCCACCCTACGTGAGTCCAAAGCTTAGATCTGCCACTGGATAATATGAGATTTTGGATATCTCTCAACCTCTCTATGCCAAGTTTTCTCATCTGTAAAATGAGGATAAGAGTATACCTACCTCCTAGGGTTACTGAGAGGATGAAATGAGATAAAGTATTCAGAGTGCTTAGTGCCTAGYATATAACACTGCTGTGTTCCAGGAGTGCTGATGCTCTTACCAGGTGAGAGATGGTCACCGTGCCCAGCATCCTAGGAGCCCCACCACTGTGTTCAGACATTCAGCTTTTGGTGCTGTTACTCCCTACCCTGGACCCCCCCCCCATGGTGTGTTCACTTCTCTCTTTTAACTTAGGGGCTGTGTGTACAAAGCCTAGGATGACTTTTTGTATCTTGTTCTTGCTCTCCAAGTTGATATCAACTCTGAGGCAAGGACTGAGTCTGCACCTGCTTCCTCAGTACTTCCAGGGTTTGGAACTAGCAGGCACACAGAAAAGCATGTACAGATACCACTACAAGCTTGCTTTCTGGACCTGATTATGTAGCCATTTCCCTGGGATCCCCAAACCAGCAAGCAGTGTCAAGGGAGATACAATTGTCTCTGTACTATTTGCCTATAAGCCCCCTAAAAGGAACTGTCCTAGGAGAGCTGATGCATTTGGCTTACTGCACCCACCTCCCCACCTCTTGCTTCTTCCTGCYGTAAGCGACCTTCCTTAGCTTTCAATATTTGCCTGACCCTCCCTGACCAGCGAAACTTCATACCCCAGGTCATTTGTGCCTTCTTGTCACCCATAGGCCAGCAGGATATGCTTCTCCAAGCACATATTCAAAGTTGAGTTGACTTTTTATTTCTACAACTTGAGTCGAAGCAACACTCTACCCTCCCTCTGGGATACGGTTGTGGTCTTAGCTGGCTCTCCTATTCAATGGTGGCCTTCTTGAGGCTATGGAACCTCAATAGAACCTTCTTGAGGCTATGGCTCAATAGAACCACATGAGCACATCTTCCTGTGATTAAAAAAAAAAAATGACATGTTGCACATCTCTGAAAGTAGCAGAAGTCCAAACTACAAACTCATTTTACTTGTCTCCTGCCTCCATCAGCATTAACAAGTACACATTTATTTCCCGTGAATATCTCATGGCACCTAGGGTAGTGCACTGCCTGCAACAACACCTGAGAAATGGTGACTAATGGACCAAATTCTAAGTCTTACCAAAGTCTTCATATTCCAACTTGGACTGTATGGTTTGTGGTGGCCAATTAGCTTTAATAAAGCTTAGTTCTCAGCACTCTAATATAAATTAGAAATAGTAATATATGTGTTGTTCAAAATATAATGATCATGTCTAAGAAGCTGGCAAAGCAGGATACAGCTAAGTATAGATGAAGAGGTGGCACCAAGGAGCCCTTCAGCCATTGCTATTGGATATAAAATACCAATTTGGAGAGCAATGTGGCAATATCTCATAAAGTTGAAAATGCACACATTCTATGAGCTGGCTATTCCATTTCCAAGCAAACCCTAGAGAAAATGTAAGCTCAGGGAGACCAGCACAATGTTTGTGGAAGTATTATTGTAGTGACAAAAATGAGAAGGAACCTAAATGTTCATCAAAAGTTAAATGGGTAAATAAATAGAATATCCATTGACAGGAATATTATAGGGTATAGCAAAACATGAACTATAGTCATGTGTATCAGCGTGGATGAATCTCAAAACCAAAGTATTGAGTGAAAAAAGTCAGGATACCTATTATGAACAGTATTTATGTGAAACTTAATAAAATACAAAATGATACTGTATGTTGTATAGCAAGAGATGTAAAATGGAGAGTGATGAACATCAAATTTAAAATAACGGTTACTTCTGAGCTAAAAGGAAGGACATAGGTTGGGTTATTATTCAAAGAGACACTATTGTTATCTGTTATGTTTTCTTTATTACGTTGGGTAGTGACAGCAGAAGTGTCTGTGAATTAAATTCTTATACTATTTCATTTTAAAATGAGAGGAGAAAAAGGAAAACTAATTCTAAACATCTTCATTACAAGGCCCTGAGCCATGAGCAGCAGGTAACAGGCTGGGGAGAAAAGGGCATTGGACAAGGTGACTTTCTACTGTACTGTAAAGAAGTTGGTGATAGATTTTGGACACATTATTTGATCCACCTGGGTATCAGTGTTCTTGTCTGTGCAATGGGGATTGTAATGTCCTTTCTATTCACAGGGTATTTGTGGAGTTTCAACGGGATGACAACTCTAAAGGTGTTTCTGAGAATTACTAGCTAACTCATGTCAAAAAAGAGCCCTGAAGTTAATGGAGGAGAAAGATTAGGAAAGCAAGTATAATGAATGGAAGGCCTTTGAAGGAATTGTTCTCTGTGGAATAAGGAGGCCTCCTAAATGACATGCGTATGCTTTAAAAGTTCAGAACAGCTGCCCATGTCAAGCACCGTATTCCGTGTAGTTCCAGAGGGTAGGAACGGAGGGACGATTCATTAGCACCTAGAGAACTTCCTAACAAATGAATCTCTCAATCACTGGATCAGGGGACTCCACCTACCAGAAATTCTTAGAAATCATTCTCAGAGAACAGGGAAGGGAGGAGTAGAGAGCTATGGGTCCCTTCCAAGTCTCTGTCCTTGTTCGATGGTCCTAGCACTTTCTGAAATGCTTCTTGTGCTCTCTCCATTAGAGAAACCCCGAAATAACCAAGCCACTCAAATGACGTCAAGAACTGATAGGAACGAACAGATGGCTCTGATAGCATTTCAAAGTGTTGTGTTTTTGTTATGTTCAGAAGAGGAGGAAAGAAAAATCTCGAGTAGAAATCATAAATATTAGCTTTAGTTAACCAATTATTTTTATAATGAAGTTAGTATTTGGCCATCTGGATGAAATCATACTGCAAAGGATGGCAAGGCACCTGGGACAAAGGGAGGGAGGCAGAACCAACAGCTCTGAGGAAAATCACCTCCSGGATTCTAGTACACAA